CCCCAAAACCCCAAAACCCCAAAACCCCAAAACCCCAAAACCCCTCAATCTGAGGATGCGTTGAGATATTTCAGAATGTTTAGAAATTTAGTGTCCAAAGACTAATGCTTCCATCTTCACTCCCAACAAGGACCTCACACTGACTGCCATTAGAGTAAAGACTTACAGAATTGATAGCTGCTTTATGATGCTTCAGCAATCCTACAAGCTTCGGCTTGTGGGGTTTCTTCACTCGATAAAGCCTTACTCTGTGGTCAAAAGAGCCAATGAAGAGTAAATGAGAGTAATACTTAATCTCTCAAGTTCCAGGTTTGAACATTGCATCTTTTATCACGCTGACAAGGGAGATTTCTCAAAACTCCTTGCTTCCCTTAATTCTTTTCATCTGGCATTTCTCTTCGAGATCAGAGTCAATTTCTTTGACCGATAAAATGCTGATATCTTGCGTGTATCAGGATATGGCAAGATGAAAATCATGCTCTTCTGGCTGGAAGATTGGAAATATTGATAAAATAATAGATGGATTCTCGTCAACTGGATCTAGCACAAAACCTTTTGTTAATGGCAATACCTTCCCGGTTGATACGGAGTAATATCAAGGGATAATAGTTCCACTTTCGTACCCTACAAAGATGAAATTTCTATCAGAAAATTCGACAACATTGATAGCTCCTTTCTTATTTGACTTATCAATATCAGAGATTGAAGAGAACACTGCTGAAATGGGATCCGGTAGGATCCCATCAGTGCTCTCTTTTCCTTCTTCATTGATAAATCCTAGTAGATATTTACTAAACATTTTCTCAAGTTTTGGGACTTGCATCATAAAGCTTAAGGGGCTTTTGACAGTGTATATTTTCTTCCATTTCTCTTGGTCAACAATCCCGTCGACCATAGCCACTAATACATCAATTTCTCCATCTTTATACAACACAATAGCGAGTTTGTAACTCTGTTGTAATTCAGGATGTTGTAATTCCTGTGAAATATGCACTCCAAGAATGATTTTAGATTCAGAAGGTTTAAATGTAACAAGAGTCTCTGATTTCTCAAAGTTAAAGACTTCAAGGGACCCTGTACCATCAGAGCAGACGATAGTGTGCTGGTCTATGAAACTAGCCGCTTTACAGCCACTTTCAAGTTTCGATTTCAATATCAACGGGGGATCTATCTTGGTCCTAAACCACCTGTGTTAACATCGAATTTTAACTAAAATCATAATTTTAGAAGAGTTAGCATAACCCACTAGCCAGAATGTTGAACCATAATGAATGGCGACCTTCAGACTTACTTTTTGGAACCCTGCTTCTCCATATTTGTAGTAAAAATTATAAAAAATTGGGGTTTTGGGGTTTTGGGGTTTTGGGG